TTAGCGAGTATGTATCACAGTATCAGTAAGTCTTGAGAGTGTGTCATTAGTGCGTGCCACTATGGGGTCGTTAAGAATAATTTTTTACAAAACTGACCACAAATGGCACGGGAATTGAATCGTAATTGCATGCAATCTCTGCGACTAAATGTCGTCCTTGTTTATGATATAGAAGTTTTACGAGATGATCAACTCGAAAACCGATTTCCGACATACTCAAGTATCAAGTGGCCCATGTATAACGATGAACAATCAATTTCCTTCCTCCCCTGCTCTTCCCCAAGTACCCGTGAACAACACATGCAAGATATATTCACGCGAAACAAACACGCTCTTTTTAAAGCAGATATGAAGTCTATTTCAACACGGCGGCTACAATTATCCATCGATATTGGATCTAGTGGCTTCACCTTTTAATAATGCTCGGCTTGAAAACAACGCCATGGCGCTTTTACACAATCGATTGTCATATATATATCACATCTTCTTCGGCGTATATTATAAAGTATATTATAGAGTATATTATAAACGCCTTTTAAGAAACTTATCATTCGTGCACGTACGTATTCATGTTCGCTTCAAAACGCCGGATATATTCTGTGTGCTACTTTAACTCAAAGTAGAAACTACAAGCCCTAAATTGAAGTATATCGTATAACGCTTAAAAACAAAGCAATCTATATGACTATGTACAAAGATTGTTGTGTTTTTTTCTGTCAAGAGCGCTGATCATGCACTACTGTATTGTATCGCAGTAGGTTTCAACTTAAAAACAAGGTTTGAGCAAGGTATATTACTAAGCATGCATGTGCTTTCATTCAAAAACAAAGTCTTTGAATAAAGATTCCTCGTATTACTTGTCGCCCCAAGGCTGGTAGGGACCTGCCAGTCCTTGCATGGTCTATGAAAGCGCGATGGCTGGATTTCACCAAAGCACTGTACACGTGGTGCCAGTAAACCATGAAATTCAACAGCTGTTGACAAATGGTTATATTCACTTCGTCTTAGAAAACGCTCGGAGACTATGACTGGCTAACTTATAAGTGCCATGCACATGGTTCAAGTTAACTAACATGCATCTTTTACAAGTTCATCAAGCACCTTTTATTATTCTTCTTTTATCATCAGTCATCGAAAACGTATTGCTAATGATCTTTTCAAAAACGTGCTAAATGCCACTGCAAGTTCATTTAATAGAAATATAATTCTAGAATGTATATTCAGAAGCCACATTAATCATTATCGTGCGTCTAAGAAGCGCCGGTATTTTCGCAACATCGTCGGAAAGTAGCAAAAAAACTGTTATCTTATCAACAAGATACAATAATAATTTATAAGGCAAACACAATCTCCTTCGATAATGGGAAAATAATAGCGAATATATGGGACTGTGCCCAAATTAAGGGAACAAAAGAAATCCGACTTTCACCGTAAGATAATTGAAGTTACCATATTGGGAACACTGTATATTTTCGTTGCCAACAAGCATAAGCTATTGTCAAAATTTAAACTCAGGATACAGTTTTGCAGTTGATGAGTAGAAGACCGAAATGGCTATAATGGCGATTGGCTTTTCCGAGCATGTTCGGCGCGGTACATAGGCTTTTACTTCGCTGATAATATATCAGAATGTATGCATTGGGGTTTAATTTAGATCCCATTAGAGATTCCCAAAAGAAAATCGGAAAACTTTGATTTGCAAGTCTGTAGCGATAAAATCGATAGGAAAACAGTTAAGAAGTAATTTTCAAAGTCGGGGGCTAAATTGATCTATGTATGTTGGGCAACGCGTGAAGCGTTTTTCATGCGATTCTGGTAATGATGGTTCTATGCCATGAATTGGAGTTGTTCCAATGTATATAAATATATCTATTCCGTTTATTTCAGACGAATTAAAATAGCACACAAATATTGCGTTCGAACCGGCGAGCAATTAAACAAACTATTGTGTGCGATGTTTGGGGGAGGTCTATTTGGCAAAAATCGCGATATTTAATCCAACATTCTGCATGGTTAGCTTTTGCTCATATAAGAGGATCTCATGACTTTATTCTAGACGAGACAAAAATACGCCCAGTTTGCGGGAAACCAATTTTCAAACGTGATTACTAAAAATTTTAAAAAGAACTCCGTCGAACTTTGAATATGTGGTCGCGCAATCTATTTCTGAAGTGAAAACTAAAAAAACCCTGGAAAAAACTGGATGTAGCTATATTTGATATTGTGAGGCCTTTCTGCAGTAAATGCTCGTGTTTAAGCACATGATCGATATAGTTCTTCTAAGCTTCTTTGCTGTACGAAATCATCTCGCAATTGCAAAGCAGGTGTACGGACCCAGGCAGAGCGTCAAGTGGAAAACGCCCGAATAGGAGAGCTGAACTGTACGTGTGAAAGGACTGCTTATTTATTAATCTTCACGAGATAAAACAAAATCTCTCCATAATAACCACATCTTGCCAAGTTGTCTGGCTGCATTGTTTGTTAATTCCCACCGCAAGAGACTATATCGTTCACGAATTTTGGAAACATTCATCGGTTATCGCGCAAAATTGCTCAAGTCAGGTTCAGCAAACCGCGTGCTTCTCTTTAACTGCGCGTCATAGACGAACGAGACAAAAATTACCTCTAAAGATATGACAGATTGCATGCATGTGAGTGAAAGAGAAGCCTTGCTACCACGATACTTCGCGCAAGAAATATCATCAGAACAACCCTCAAAAGCTACCGAAGTAGAGGCCACGCACATTGTGTGTACATCTAGAAATTTGATTAATGCCCTTCAGAAAGTCAAATACACTGAAATGCGTCACAATCGTTCGTGTACACAAGCAATTGCTCGCTTTCCGAGATAAACGAATGCCAATGACGAGATGTGAAAATACGATTAGCGGTTTTGAACGAGGTAGTGGAAAGCCTTTAGTTGTTTTTAGCAGATTACGCGCGGAGATACTGCAAGAGTGAGATCTTAGAATCGTAGCAGCTGGACACGCTTGCATATACGCGATAAAGTTCACCAATCGCAGAAACTACGCGAGGCAAAAGCTCGCAAAATACACATGCAGAACCGATACAAAATATTAGCTGGCAAACAAATTTACGAACAGTACATTATGCTCGTTGATTAGTGAGAGTATAGTGTTGATGGCCGGGCCATAATCACTGGATTTTTCGACAAAACGCTAGACAAAAGAAAGCATTTAAGATTTCAAAAAGGGATAACTTAAACAAGATTTCGCATCGGACGCGTCCGGCCTTTTTTTGATAACAAAATGTAAACAAAATCGTGATGTTTGATTTCCCAATTTCCAAAGAGCATCTTCGTGGTTTTGGCCGTGTTTATATGATCGTGAATCGTTCGCAATTACTCAACTTCTGACCGAACATAAACACATTTAAAGTTTTAATTATTTAAAACGAAGGGCCCAAATGATTGCGCGTGTAACGCGAGACGGATTGCAGCAAATGGATCGCCATATTTTGACTTCGAATTGAAAAGAGCAGGTACACTAATTTGTCTCGCTCTTATTTAAATAATTTGAAGTGAAAACAAGCAAACCACGGGAAAGCAAACAAAGCAATTAGCCAATTTTCGAGCTATTGTCAAAACCGTAAACTTGTTGGCTTCTTTAAATTGTTCTTGTGTGTAGGCCGTTTAGAACAAACGCATGTCAACGAGTGGCAAAGAGTTAGAAGAAGAACGAACAATAAATGAAAACGTTAGCAACTCTAGTTTGTTAAGTACACAAACGATTGAGAAATTTAAATCATAATGCAGAAACTCCCTCGTATTGTCGTTGATGTCAGTTTAGTATATCGAAAGTGATATCTCAGACAGACATTGAGGGACCACGAGGAAACTCGTCGACGACAGGGAAAATTTTGCCTTTTCAAAAAGCTCGAGATATCAAACATTTGGTAACTTTATTGTTAAAAAAATTAACACGGTTTAGATTATTTCGACTACAATGCGTTCAGCTTGTTCGCTTTTGTTTCGAAGCATGATAAGACGGGACAGGTCGTAAATCATCGAGAGATTACTTCTATAAAACTGTCTGTATTCACGCAAATTACAAAATGATAATTTAACAAAGAGAGAAGAAGGCATGGCATACAGGGGAACTAAACTCCTAAGCGAGCGGTCAGGCTCGGACATCACGCCTAGCTGTACAAATGACATTTGATTTCAACGAATTCCCTTTAGAAATTTTATTCGTTTTTTTTTTGTTTTATTTCGATTTAATCTTTTTTTATCGCCAGGGCAGGTGATAATGTTTTCTTCTTTGAAGGCACACAAGACTGCTTCCACGTTTCCTGTCAATGTTATCAGAGGTTGAGCACATCAATATTAATAGCCTCAATGTGCCTTTCCTTTACCGCACTGTTTTATAAAGAGTAGTTGAACGTTTAGAAGCGATATTGTCAGCGATAAAAAGTACCCTTAACTAAAAATGCCCATTCATTTTAATCACCGCTGGCGCTAAACATTTTGACATTCGATGTCCTAATTATGTGATAAAGGTTTGCATGCGCTGGACCCGTGCTCGCACGCGAAAAATAGGAAATATATGTGAAAAGATATTTCATGCTTTGATCGAACCCACGCCAGACAATATGTTGTTAATGCGAATAAATAAATAAATAAATAAATAAATAAACTATACGTGCGTAAGACCGTTTCCTGACACAAAGAATGGGATTGCGTACAAAAGTTCCTAGTTTCCCTAATGACTTCTAAAAGGTTCTTCATGACCATGGATTTGTCTTCGACAGGAAATTGACTAATCGTTCGCCATTGGCCAATTGAAAGAGACGCAAACCATGGCTTAGCGATGCAATCGATAATTTGCAACTCGGCATTAGCCAATAGCAGTCACGCTTACAATGACAACTCATTGTTTGGGGGCGGGACTGATTAGATCCTGTTCTTAAGAAGACCAATACCTTATTGTGACAGCGATTGGTTGCTGACCTTAAAATACTGGCTTTTTAAACTCCTTGACAATTGAATACAGATCATTATCGAGCTCTCGAGCGAGGCGCCACAACCTCTCTCAATATTGAGTCGCAAGCAAACAAAGTCTTATTTTCTACAAGCATAATCCCCTCGAAGGAGCTGCAACTGACAGAATCCGAGGCAAACCAAGACAGCGAACGCAACACACAGCCGAACACCAGCACACACCACGCGATAATGGCGAGCAGAAATCGAGCAAACCCATTCTCTATTTCGAGTTTGTTGGACAAGAAGGATGACGAGAAGGTCGACGAGAAATGCGAAGACGCGAAAGACGAGGTCTATAAAGATGAGAACTCGGACGACGAATGCTCCAAAGATAGAAAGCCTGCATTGGAAAGAATCCCCAGCATAACAGAGGAGAATAAGCCACACAGAATCCACTCCTGGTTCACAGAGTATCAAGCGAGGCAAACAAGTATTGATGCGAGTAAGTAGTATCCAATATTATTCATAGTTCCACTGTACGAACATTCATGGATAACTTTCGACCTTTTCCTTCAAACGATTTATCAGTCACAGTTAAAACATCAAATAAGGGAACTATTTGTATGCAATATGTGTAAGATATATGCAATGTGTCGCTTTCCTGATTGGTAGACTATATATATACGTCTTATTGTGTACCAACGTGCTTCGCTAAACTTTCTGCAATGGGCGCATCTAACTTTTAGCAAACTCGGCAATCTTTATCAAAGTCAACACGAGGCAATTCAGCAAGCAATCTCTCGCATTGAATCTACACGTTTCCTATACGACACCATTGATTAAGAACTCGAAACATTACAATACAGTTAGCAATAAAATTGCTTTCCCTCACCTCGCAAAGTTGTAGAAATTTCGAGTCCATAACAAGCCCAGTATCCCCCTTAAAATACTCCACTGGACGATGGATGTACCTATATAAAACAATTAGCGTTTGAGAGTGGGATTTCATATTCACTCCTAATTGTTTAGCCATTTCCTAAAATGTTTGGTATATATAGTATTGAATGCGATCTTCCGCCGACCGTTGAAGACGTTAACGATGACGATATAGCAAGAAATTATAAAACTTGATTACATTTCCTTGTCAAAAACTCGGCTATGCCTCGTCGTAGTTTTTCCTACTGTTTTCATACATTAAAACGAATACATACAAAAGCGGTGCTTACGTATATGCAAAACTTGGAACAATTCCTAATGATTATATGGAACATACATTGTATATTATCGTTATGCAAAGTAAGATTGTTGTGACTGTAATGACACTATAAGATGATAGGTCTCCCGTAGTCAGCAGATTATTTAAGTTTGTTCCCATAGAAAAATTAAACTATCTAGCGCTTTGGTATAATTATTTATATAAAGATAATCCTGAATAGAGCAATCTTGAAGTATTTTCAAATTTGTAACGCTCCTGGTTATTGATTTAAAATCAATAGATTACCTATTGTCCTACTGAGTTTAACTGAAGTTTTGATCGGAAAATAATAAAGATTTAATATGGAGCGCAGTTAAAGATAACTCGTATACTGAACGATGTTTATGTATATTTCAACGCACAGGCTTCGGTTTTTTTCCCTCGAGTTTCTTCGACTCTTAGTCCCATCAATAAGGGTTTTCTGTGAGGTAGATTATGTTAGAAACTGGCGTGCATTTTAGAGCGAACAAAGTTATGTAAATTTCACGTCGAATGCTAGATTTAAGTGCGGGAATACCAACAGCACATGGGTTGTTCTAACCGTCTGATATTTTTTCCTCCAGAATCGCCCGAGCCCGAATATGGCAACGTCAAATCGCCATCTATGGATTCGGACGACGAGACGAACGGCGACGCGTTGAAAAAACGACGAAAGAAGAAAACACGCACCGTGTTCTCGCGAACGCAAGTCTACCAACTCGAGACAACGTTCGATCTGAAACGTTACCTTTCATCTTCGGAGCGTGCCGCGTTGGCAGTCCAACTTCACCTCACCGAGACACAAGTGAAAATTTGGTTTCAGAACAGGCGAAACAAATGGAAGCGACAAATCGCTGCCGAACTGGACGCGGCGAATGCTGCTCATGGCTCACAGGCACAGAGACTTCTCAAGGTGCCATTGCTCTACCACGAAGCCAGCTTGCGAAGCGGACATGGTTTTCCATACTCGCCATTCATAAGTCCCTATCCCGCTTTCCATTATCAATCGCCATTCTCAGCGCCCATGTTTGCGAACGTAATGAAGTCGCCTCTGCCGCATCTATCCTACGAAAAGGGAGCGATCCTTTGAAAACTTCAATTTACGCGCAAAACCGAATACGCGCTCGCAATCGTACGGACGAACTGTAAGGCGAAAGCTTCTCACTAATTGCAGAATAAACTAATGGTATCTCGGGGAAAGAACAGAGAATAAACAAACCCATGTACAAACGAAACGACAAAAAACAGCCGAACTGTTTAAAACAAAGGGCTTACTTTTCACTTAGAAACAGGAGATATTTATAGTTTAAGTTAGGGCAATACAAGAATAAAACGGTTCCACCGAGTGGACGAAAAACAATTCTTCATACTTATTTTACGTTGAAAGAAATGTTGATCGGCAAATATCGGTGGAATTAGATTGGCAAAACACATCATATGGCAGTTTCAATTACGCGAAGGGAAAAAACCTTATTGACTGTAACATTACATATTGAAATGGGCCGACACACTGAGCAAGCATATATATCGGCCTAATTTTTCATCGCCAAAAATAGTGCAAAAAGTTCTGGCACTTTTAGCGCACGTTAAGTCTTAAGTAGAGAAGTTTCAAGCGGTTAAAAAGACAATTTCGCGTTAAACCTTTTTAAAATGCCGCACTTAACTGGTTGAAAATTTCCGCTCAAATGTGTACTTGTTTGACCAAAGTTTGAGCGCTTGAAGGAACCTGTCATATGATGTGTGGTGACAAATAGTTAAGTGAATTTCTGTTGTACTAACGCGGCAGCGAATTAATTGTAATATATTTCGGGTTATAGGACAGGGAGGAACAAAGAAATCATGAAAAATTAGCTTACGAGTGACAACGACTTACAAAAGCTGATAATCGTTTGTGAGCCTATATATTGTCGTTCTTATCTGGACTTAAACAGTAGCAAAATTATATTAATACATTCACGTTTTTGTGGATAACACAATATACAATTTCTTTGTAAATAAAACCTTTGTACAGGATATTTTGTCACGTGTAAATATATAGAGGTTCATTAAATATTTCCTTCAAACGTTTTGCGAACGTTTTCCTCTAGCGTAAAAAGTAAAAACCACAGAATATCATATTCAATGGCCGCCAACCAGACACAGGCTTCCCGTCCCCCCCATGACTAATGAGTTTAAAATTAGGCCTGGGAAAAAAATTGCGGAGAGCAATTGTTGTATCATCTTGAGTTATAAACACAACCGTTTTCGTATCTCCCATGAAAACGAGTATGAGACAAAACGTATCTACACATAGATATTTGGGCCCTCGAGACATTAATGACTGAAAATTGGGGTTAAACAGCACCGATAGAGGCTGATAGCTGGGTTATTTAGGACGAATTACATACTATCTTTTGGTCGTTATGTTGTGAATGCATTTGGCAAAACGTTTGCATTTCATGACAGACCGGGAAAATCTCGACGAATTTCCTGCGTATTTTGTGGTATTTGAAATATTTTCCCTTTTCGAATGATTTCAAACTGAGGGTTTTCGTTACGGTCACATAGAAAGCTGCCGTTGTGCTGACGCCATATTGCACGATGAATCACAAGATAGCGAAGTAACAGAGTAAGATAAAAGACAATCATGTGTGTGTGTATACAAGATGATTTCGAAATAATTGGTAAAAAAAGTTACATAAAATGGTGCGTCTTGCCTTTCAGAAGGGACAAAGACTTTTTGGGTGCAAGAATCGATTATGATTTGAATTCTGAACCATAATAAGATTGTGGCAAGCAATATCTAATGAGTTTAAATTTAGAGTTTGACAACAAACAGATGAGTCTATCATAAATGCATTTATTCAACTTGCAAGCGATGGATGGTTAATATTGTTCCGCAGTTCCTGTTCTAGTGAGTTCCGCCCAGATATTAAACTTCCTTCAATCTTTGAATGTACGTAATTCCTTTCAAAAAAGCTTTGTCGCCCATTGTTGCCTTGCACCGAAGGGTAAAAACACCAAAATGGCGGTCCTTTTTTCACTGTGAGACACGTGTTAGCTAAGCTGCTTATATGAGATGAATGAGGGAAATAATGACGTTTTATGGCACTAAGATATGAAATGTTGAGTACAAGATTAAATATTGGCTTCTCTCTCCACCCATGCAGCAATGTGCGCTTTCATCCAGACTCCGCCTATGAGGACTCGAAACCGGAGAGCGAAGGAAATAAGTTTACTTAGCCAGACAAATGATTGGCGAATACGCTATATAGCTCTCTTATCGAAAAGAGTCCCATCAACTACAAATCTTCGGCAAAGCGAAGACACAAAATCGTCGCCGACAATTCCCAATTGCAGACCCTTGAAACGACAGGGTAAAGAGCCGACACTTTGTGTATACACAGGCTATAGAGTACCCGCGAACATCAAAACAATTCATGACCGTAGAAATAATCTAAACATAAAGAAGAGATCCTTTCGAGCAACAGCAGGTCACAATTTGGGACAGCGTTTTTTGGCAACTTGTCAACTCTTTTAGTGCAGATGCGTTCGTGTGCCTTTTTGCATGTGTATAGACGTTTCTAAATTCGATTGAGGAGAGTAAATTAAACGCTATCATTTAAAATCTTTCGTGCAATGAGCAAATATCAGACTATTATAGCACATCTTTATATTAGAGAATCTATACGTCTTTGTATTATAGAGCTGGTTGTAGTCTAGCAACTGATCACTGATAGGTGAATATAATTTAGGATATTTAAGCTTCTATACTTTTCAGTCCGGAAAAGAGGAATTTTTAAGATCATACGTGTGTCGCTGACGGCAAACTAGCTATTTACAACCGTGGGTGCGTAAACTCATTGCAAATATAGAAAAGCTTTCTTATTTTAGACCTAATTTGCGTAGATGGGTCAAATCGAACGGCTTCAAGGATTTCAAAACTCGATTTAGACACTTGTGTTTCCTCTCATGCGCGCATCACTCCTTTAAATGATGTGTGTTAACACGCAAGGTTTAGACAGGGATGGGAAAATCCGGCCCTATGGAATAAGGCTTTCGAAGCATCCAATGCCAACAGGACATAATCTTCCATACTCTTGCATGAAGTTTACACATAGGTAAATGCAGTAGCGAACTTGTGATCGCAGTATATATATTGGGTAGCGCTTTAAGGCTCTTTTTCACTCATAGCAAAATCAACTCGCAAGCGAGTGTTTGCATCTAATTATAAAATGAACTGTCAAGCATTGCGATTGGACGAAATTTCTCGCAGCGAGCTTGTGGGTTTGCTATGAGTAAGTGAGAGCCTTTGCGATGAGTGAGTGACAGCCTTCAGTGGAATTACTAGATATTTCACCCAAATTCCAAGTCTGGATGTGTCTAGATGAACAACATCATACAAACTTCTTCTTTTCATTCGAGTGCTAAGTTTATTGTTTTTAAACTTATATGTCCTAAGATACGCCATGCATTTGTAAGAAAAAGGTCTCAGCGCTCCTCGGTATGAATGCGGTAATCTGGGATAAATTGCTTGTTTAGTCTATCCACGGAGAGTATTTTATTATTTTGTCTTGCTACTCTTAAAGACGCTCTAATCGGGTTCGCAAATAAACGTGGAGATTTAAAAACAGAGCAAATAAACGCCGCGTGTGCGAAAATGATTTCAATTTTTTTCCTAATCTTTGGCGCGCAGATAAAGCGCGGTCAGCGTGTACGTGCGCGCGATAAACGCAATGGAAATCTACTGGTACAAAAAATAGCTGGAAAAGATAAACGCAGCTCGTAACAGGTCGAGAGCGCGATTAGCGAAACCGACCTGTAAATGACAGACGATGCTTTGTGTTGGAAAAAGCTAAACACCTTCTGAGAGTACCTATAGTTGTGAATAATTACGACATGATTGCTTTGAAATTAGCACGCATCAAAAACAATATCAGCAATAAACACAACGTTTTATCGAGACAATGGTTAATATACACTCCGCATCGTCGAATATACAGGCGATGAAAAATCGCGAGATTACTGAATGGCTTTTCGGATGCCTCGCGATGGATTTAAAGCTGATAATCTGATGGGTATATTGGGCGAGCGCGCGGGCTTTCATCGCGATAGATATTCATATGCGCGATGTTGGACCCGATGATTTTTTGTTTAGTTTTAATCACGAGACACTTAAAAACAGCAGACTTCCGCAGCATGATGTATGCTACAAAACCGTCAGTATAGTTTAAACTAATGCAGCTCGTAAATTCGTTTCACGCTAATGGCTCTCCTTAACCAGATGGTGCACCGTTTTAACGCGGTGCTCAAACAATGGCGATGTCTCGCTGACGCAAGCCCCTTACACAAAAGCGCTTTTAACGACCATTTTATATTTAAACGCACAACTCGTTAAACTGCTCGTTAATCGTTCTAAATTGTGGCCAGCATGAAATGACCGGCGAAACAATCGCACGAATGTACGCTAGTCGGATGTTTTTCGTGCGCCGCATTTGGGAAAACGAAAGGAAAATAAACCCGCGAGGTGATTCGGATATTTGCATGCCGCGTGGCCGGCGTAGAGCTCTGATGAAAAGTTTAGAGAGCCTTCAATATCGTAATGGTGTACAATAAAAATTAATGAAAATGCTCGAATGCAAATGGGAACATAATGAGAAGGGATAAAAAAACTCGCTTCGCTTAAAAGCCAGAGACTCGATATAAACTATTCTCAACAAGAAGAGGGTTTTCAAACGCCTGCAGAATATAGGCGACGCGATGAATCGAGAATCTTACTGCGGCAAACAACACGATATGAATACGAGTGCTCAAAATATTTTTTAAATTTTTAAAATTTGTGCTGAAGTTAAGGCGTCCCCCGCAAAATTGACAGCCTCGCAAAAACAATAGACTGACATGGATGAAATACGACTGATGCATGCTCTAGAAAGGGTCGAAGCGTTTTTTAGCCCGTCAAGACATTCACAACCTAATATCCGCCGTTTATTTCATTTGTCTCCCAATGCTAAAAGCGTGCAGTGTGTTTAGAAATCAATTAGAATGGGCAAAAAAGGAAAAAACCCGGGGAGTTTTTCGGCCTTTGCGAAACAATTTTCATATGAAGTGTCGGGCAAAATAATTATCAGATCATTTTCGTTTCTTCCCATTTTCAGCCCAATGTACACGTTGTGATGAAAAAGTAATGGAAAACTTAATTGTTGGGCATTTTGGGGGGCTTAGCTTTAATGATTTCGGCAAGAGCTTTTTCAAAGAAAATTTATTGCATGTTGTTCCACATTATTCAGACATAGAAACACTTGTTAAGGTCTTTTAAAAAACCATTAACGTTAATTTGTAGCATCAACATCTAAAAATTTTAATCCCTTATCAGTTTGGCACGAAGAGCATACGGACTGCAGGTGTGTGTACACAGAGAATGTCAAATCGCATTAATTTTCATTTGAAAATAACATCACTAAAATACGTGCTTGAAAGCTTCAAATTTGAGGCAAGACAACAGAATATGCTGATAAACGCTTTTGAAAGACGACATTATATATGTATACGTTTCACAGTTTGTTTTGAAAGGTCTCCACCCCCATTGTTAACCAATCGCTATCAACAGGCGAAGGTATCGATTATGGGCCACATTAAAATTTTTCTTCAAAACAAATTAATGAGCAGAACCTTGCTCGAACTTTAATGACATTTTTGCGTCGCGAATGCGACGAGCGTATATAGCTACTACGCGGTTTGTTTCCCGGTGAAACCCCAAAATATTTCTGGAATTGTTTACTCAATTTCAACCGTATATGTATAGACTAAATATATATAGCTCGCATACGCTTGCTAATCTGCATGGTTATGCAAATGTTTTCCTAAAGAATATTCCATTCCTTGGAAATATACCGAGGGATCTAAGTGCTGCATCTCTATATAGCGAACGAAATGCAAACTACTTTATTTATCGATATCAGACGCAAAGAACGCATGTGGAAGATTGAGAAAAATCTTTAATTCGCAAGAATACGCAAACATATTAGTACAATATAATTATAAGAGATGATTAGCATATGTCTGTGGGTAATTTGCAACGTTAAGA